GCTAGAAATGCTGCTCTGTGCACTTCTCGAAGTTTTAATGTATGCATTTGTGGTGTCCTCCAGGATGAGGAGGAGCTGGTCCTACCCCTGCGGCCCAAGAAGTCTCCTCTCAATGGCCTGTGCTGCCTGACATTTGGTCTGGTGGTCTTCATGGCTGGTCTGGTTTTAGCCTCCATCTTTGTCTACCGCTACTACTTCATACCTCATGTAAGACTCGATTATGCTCTGCAGTGTGCCATATGTGTGCCCTTGTTGGCCTTGCAATGAAACACTGCACTAAAAAATGGGGGGGGAAATGTTCTTCTTTTTAAAAACAATAAATAATTGTAATCACTGCCATCTGAGACGGATAATGTTGCTGCAGTCGTGTTTCTTGGCTGCTGTGTTGCATTAAAAGCTGATCTGTGTGCATGTGTGTAGATCCCAGAGGAGAACTTGTTTCACTGCAGGGTGCTGTATGAAGACTCTGTGTACGCTCCGCTGCGTGGCCGTCAGGAGTTGGAGGAGAATGTCGGCATCTACCTGGCCGACAACTACGAGAAGATCACTGTGCCCGTGCCTCACTTTGGAGGAAGTGACCCTGCTGATATAATCCATGATTTCCACAGAGTGAGGACAAATATACACATGTTACATATAGGTCTGATATTCTACCCCTTAAAGACACATTAACGCCACACTCGCATGTCTCCAGAATGTCTATTTCAAGTTTCAGCCTCAAATACAACACACATAGATGCAGTTCTGAGCCAAAATGTGGGTTGTAACATTTTTTCAGTATGATAACTTTTTTTTCTTCTTCTAGTAAATGTGAACATGAAGTTTGTCTGAGTTCATGAAAATCTGCAGTCCAGGAGTATAGAACAGCTAGAGTTTTTCCACACAGCTCATAGGCTGCTTTAAAAACAAGACTTCATATTCGTTGTCTTTGTCAGCTGACAAGAATTGGGGGAAAATATGAACATGAGGCAGATTTCATTGCTCATTCGGCTGCATCAGAGGGAATGAGTGCAGAGCATCGGAAAGAAGCATACAGCTAGCAGAAAGTGGACTCTAACTATACTGTATACTCATTGCTCATTTGGCCAAAGTGCAAAGCTGTCATCTAATGCTAACTAGCTTTGTTAGCAAAGTGCATCCATAGACGACATGGGTTTATTGCACTGCAGACACAGACACCTGCTACTTGGTGCTGAGAAAATAAGTAAATAAATGATGTAGCCCCATGCACTTATACAGTGAGCCTGATAATCATTCATATTTAAGGCTTTTTACAATTTTTTTTAATTTTTTTTTTATTTTTATTTTTATTTTACAAAACACAAAACTGTGTTGTAAACAAGTGGCCTTTTGAGGAACTGCGGTCTTCACCGATTCCACGTTGGCTTTATCTTTCAACCACAAAAGTTGCAAAATATACAGAAAAGCTAACATTACTGACTTACTTTAAATATCAAAGTTCAGTCAGTGAAATACTGACCTGCTTTTGTTTTTAAATGAGAATGAGAGTTTAATTTTATTGTTAAAGCACCAAATGAAATTCTAGTCAGCTTTACATTGTAAGCTAAAGACGCTACAGTAATGGAGAACTGGTCATAATTAGATTGCTTTGTTGTTGTTTCCAGGGACTGACTGCATATCATGACATTGCTCTGGACAAGTGCTACGTTATCGAGCTCAACACCACCATTGTGATGCCTCCGCGCAACCTCTGGGAGCTGCTTATCAATGTCAAGGTAACACAGCCAATCTTAGGCGACATCTCCAGCTGTTACCAAATGCTGGAAGCTAACATATTTAGCAGTGTAAGAAATGAATAAGAAGAAAACCACCCCACTTCTTTTCTTCCTTTATTTGTAATATCGTTGGTGTACTCTGTGATGTATTGATACACTGCTTATTATGTGGACACACTAACAACTAGCATGGCTTAGTAAGTCTGTCGAAGCTTCCCAAGCTTTTTAATTTAAAGAAAAAAAAATTTAACCTTCTTTGCTGATGTTCGAAGGAGTTGATACTTTTGGCAAAGTTAAAATTAATTTGAGTTAATACACCATTTTGGTGTTGTTTAACTGGAAATATTCCTCTGCTACAATTTGCCAGCATTAAAAGTCACTCGGGAAAATTTCCACAGATGTCAGTCCCCTCAAGAATTAGTATTGCAGCATCATCAGCCCCTTTGTGTTCCCACCGAGCTTGTTACTGTGTCTCTTGCAGAAGGGCACATACTTGCCTCAGACCTACATCATCCATGAAGAGATGGTGGTGACCGGCAAAGTGCACAACATGCGTCAGCTGGGACCTTTCATCTATCGCCTGTGCAACGGGAAGGACACGTACCGCCTGAACCGCCGCGTCACCCGCAGGCGTACGTTGGGGTTAATGGGGCCATTAAAAAGAGCTGATACATGCCTGTGTTTTTGTTTTCTTTTGGGGGATTAAGAGGTTTATCATTTAAGCTGTGATTGTATCTGAAGTTCAGCGACTCGGCTGATCGCCTCTCTGTGTCTCGCCCCATTTTCCCTCATAGGCATCAACAAGCGTGACACGAAGGACTGCCACCACATCCGCCACTTTGAGAATACATTTGTGGTGGAGACGGTTATCTGCGATGAAGCGTAAACGCGACTGTCATCTGTGAGATTCCCGCCCACACAAAGGCACATCACCAGTCATGTCTCCAGCCACTGTAGCAACCTCCTGTGGATCTGATCATGTCTGAGTTGCACTTTACTTGTTTTTGTTTTGTTTTTAATTTTATTTCAGTACCTCCCCTTTATTCTGTTTCAAATTAGGTAATATTTACCCTAAAGTGTGATGCAATACTAAGCTGCTGGTTATGTCACAGGATTTTCCATGTAGCAAAGGCCTTAAGCCAAAAATAATGATTTCAAGACATCTCCTCTTTGGGGATTTGTATGATGGTTACCGTTGCCGGGGGAGACGACTTTCTCCCCATGTTGTTTTGTTGTGCTCCCCTTGAGGTTACGTTGTTTTCCTTAGTTATCTACACAAAGCATGAAGTATTGCGTTCCTGAGCAAACATGGATTCATTTATTTATATTTTCTCATGTTCAGTGTAATGTAACTGTTGATGACTAGTAGCTTGCTTGCATCTTTAGCCTCTTGCTTACCTGTTGCTTCCTCGCTTCTGCCTTCATCCTGTTAAAAAGCACTATCGCACAGTAGACTTTAGACCAGGCTGCATTGGGCATTACACTTACTATTTTTCTTCTTTGGGAATAATATTCTGCCCCTGAAACACAGACCCATATTTCTTTTTGACCTCTAATTTGTCACACTTTTTCTTCTCTCTCTCTCCCCCCCCCCCCCCCGTCCCCACTACTTTTCTGAATCGTTTTAGACTAACCTTTGTTTTCCCTTGCATGTGTTTATGTATAAGAGAAACAGCACTCTTAGAATGTTTTGTAAAACCACGTTTAAAGCCTTAGTCCAGAGTCAGAGACTGGACTAAAGTCAAAACAAGTGAAAGGGAGCGTATTATATGTTAGATGAACAAAACCAACTGTGATCTGTATATTTTGTCTGCCAATGAAATCTGTCTGTGAATAAAGTAGTAAAAAAAAAAAATGACTGAGTTGAGGCATATGTTACTTTATTTCAAACGTTACTAGGCTTCAGTCAGTATCTTATGAATGTAAAAAGACTAAGGGGGTTTTGTTGTCACCATACGGGTGGGTGGGCAAGCAATGTTGACACCCAAATTTGTGAATACGATGACTCAAGAAAGAAGCGATGCAGGAGTTTCAAAGTGACAGCGTAGGTGTATCTTCGACAAGTTTTAATCTCAGTGACCTAGACTTCGAGGTTGGAGGTCAGAGGTCAAGTTTTTTGAAAATTCTGTGAATGCGATAACTGGAGAAAAAGCTGACAAAGGATTTTGAATTCGATACCATGGGAGCATCCAGTAGGAGGCTGAGGGTCGACGCTGGCTGCTGCCAGTATTTTTCATTTTACGGTTTCTATTTTGTGTTCTGTACCGATTTAAACATTTCTATAGTAAAATCCTCGTGTGAACCTGCAGCTCTGCCAGCAACTACATTTCCAGTCACCATTAATCAAAAACATAAAATCTCCCTAGATTTTCTAAAGAAATCTCTTAAAGTAAAAGAGGTGACTTTGATGTGTTGGTTATTTGTTTTGCATAATGAAATCGCTCTTAACTGCTATTTGTATTTGACATATGCGCCTTATAGTTGCTTTTTACATCTTCCAGTCTTTGTCAGTGATTTGAACTACATGCTGTGTGAAACTTGTAGTAGGTTAATGTAGGGTAATATTAGAAGAAATGATGACTGTATTACACAGATGGGATAAAACATGGACGTAGCCACTGTGATTCAACCACTGCTTTTGGTCTCAGGATTATCTTTTCTATTTATATTGGAAGTAGAGCTTGTACATTGTTATCTGATGCCATCATGTCATCAGATAACCTTTAATGAATTCTGTCTTTAATGACTTTAAAAAAGCCTCAAGTACTGACTGCAGACATTTGACTTTTTGGGGGATTTTCTCCAATCCACACAGGGTCAAAGCTATACGTAAACGCTCATACAGGCTCTATTAATGTCCTTAGCAAGTTGCACTTTGGCAAGATGCTTTTGGTAGCCATGAAAAAGCTTCTATTGTAATTCTGGCAGATTGATGGAGTTCATTTTAACCATAGTCCACAAATTTTCTATAGTGCTGGTAATTCCAGAACCTTAATGATAGACTGCTTTATCGATTAACCAGTTTTAATGTGTCTTTGAGATCATTGTCCAACTGGAACACCCAACTGTGTCCAAGTTTCAAACAGCTAGGTGTTGATTTGAGGCGAAGCTGAAGAATCTGAATGTCATTCATGGCTGTGTGGCAGGCAGACTAGGACCCAAATGCAGGACTCTGAGTCGAGGATATGACTTGAAAAAAAAGCAACTTTAATGCTGTGACTTAAAAGTTTCAAAAATGGTATAAAAAAATACAAGACATCAGGTAAAAAGCTAAACTTGGAAACTCAGAACCGGGAGACCTGAAAACACACAACAAAAAACAAGAGACGAGAGACTGAGACAAGGACACAAAAGCTTGACATTAGGACGGGGATAAACATGGAAACACACGACAGACTGGAGAGAAAAAACACACAACAGAAAGCAGCAGGAGATGCTGAAGACAGAACAGACATGAGAGCAGGCAAAAACTAAAAAATAGAAATATTAAACACAGATGCACTAGGAAATACAAAACTACAGACTAACTAATACAGGACAAGAAGATGAAAATCTGTTCAATCCAAAAGAAAGATTCACAAAACCATCATAAACTCACAAACTGTGTCAAAGACATAGGATCATGACATTTGTTCTTCATTACTCCATGCACAACAGAAGTGCTGCCACCACCATGCTTGATGTCTGATACAGTGTTCTTAGGTTTGAAAGCCTCAGGTTTAAACATACCTAAACAAGCATACCTCTTGCCATTGTGGCCAAATAACTCAATCATTGTTTCTTTGACTGGTAAAACTCCAGAAGTCATTTGTCCTGTTCGTGTGGGCAGGTGTAAATTTCAGCTTGAAAGTGTTGATTTTGTAGCAGGGTTTTTTTTCTGAAACCTTCTCAGTTCACCATGAAGTAAAACTCACTGGACATTGGCCCTAGTATTACAGCACTTTCCTGTTCATGCCACAGTTGAACTTTTGTGGTTTCTGGGTTGTTCCTCAACATCGAAACCAATTTCATCCCAGCAGAATGTAACGGTTTGGGCCTTCTTCCAAGACTTGGCAAAGTGGTGACACGTCCAGATAACTTGGTCCTTATATCCTGGCAAGTAGAAACTACCAGTTGTAGTCAATTATGATCACTAGGTCTTGGCAAATGATGACTATATTGAATATGACACAATCAACTTTCGTGTACAATAGTAAACATTAACAACAGTAAAATGTAATGGCCAGTCTGGGAAATTCAACCAATCTTCAGTGTCTAATAGCATTTTCAGTGATAACCTTTGGATAATTTTAAATCTGCAGATGAGATAATCAGTCGTCTTACAGTCTGTTGTAGGCTTACACCAACACCCTTCCATCTGGTGGGACTTAATTAGGCCTTGAGCCGTTGGCTCCACTACTGAGGCACTCGCAAAAAAAAACAAAGGCCTGAGTCTTATGAAAGGACTTAAAATATACAGAAGAGATGGGCTTAAACAGTGCTGTATGTAATGTTTTCAAAAATATTTACAAAATATTGTGATTAGTCAATTTTAAACCAGCTTTTCTGCTGAATGTTTAATTATTCTTAATCTATCCTCAACATTATTCATTCATGTGGTACTTTACATGCGTACACACACCCATCTGTCAGAGTTATTCTTATGTATATGCTGTTTTATTTGCCAAAAGAGAAATGAGGAGATTGATATTACTCTTATACGTCTTGATTAAATATTAGGCCAAAGCAACAACGATATGAGAAAAGGTTGTTTGTTTCATGTCCCTGACAGTATGTAGTTCCACACACGTGACTTCTGGAAGACTGTTTTTTCTGGGGGGAGGGGACATCTTCTCATGTCAGAGTGTTAAATCTGACAAACTTATTACATGATACTGATCAGGATATTGACTTCATGTAAACTGAAGACAAGTAAGGACGCAGTTTTGCAAACACAAAAAAGTGTTGCAGGTGACTTTTTTCACAGTTTCTAGTAAGTCAGCCACCGATCTGTGGTTGAGGCTTTCATGTTGGAGCGAAAATGGAACATGAAACCACTAGGCCAAGCCTCTTTCACTCCTTCACTTTCTGGGCTTGACACAAATGTTACTGAAGAAATGAACATTGATGGTTAACTGCTGAAAACTGTGCATGTGGTTGAACTACTTAAGAATCTTGTGCACAAACGAGCTACTTTGTAAAAAACAAAAACAAAAAACAGGCATGTATCGTGGGACATCTGATAGCAACTCTAGCAGGTCACTAATCTATAGTTCTCTTCCCGTGTCCTCTTTTTTCTTCCAGAAGGAGTCAAAAGAAAAATAATACATCAGTGGATCCAGACAGCAGCTCAAAACAATCAGACATGCCAGTGGAGTTATGCTGGTTTTGCTTTTTGTAAGTATGTGTAGTGGCATGGGCAGAAAACATGTGCAGAATATAAGCAAGTTGATGGCAAAAATCAGCATTACGTTCACCTTGTTTCTGACCTTTGCAGAGTCACTGAGATGTTTGTGTAGAGTCCAAGAAACCATAACGGTGCACACAATGTTGACTGCTAGCATTGTGACCAGTAACACAATCTGAAGGTAAATAATTGCTGATCGTGTTACACTTTTATATTCATGAAGTTCAAAACAAATGTGATCTGTGTGGTTCTGTAAGTGTTCTAAAAATCCTTTGGCCTCTGGGATATTTACCACCAGCAAAACCCCCCAGACCAGCGCTGCTCCTTTCCAGGCATTGCACGAGGTCCGAAGATGGCGAGACCTCAGAGGATAAACCACAGCCAGCAGTCGGTCCACACTTATGAAGGTGATGAAGGAGGCGCTGGAGCGAATGTTGTTGCGAAAGATTATTACGCTGAAGAGGCATGTGATAATTCCCAGCGGAGTGCCTGTTGCATGATGGTAGATCCTCATGGGCAAAGAGAAGATGGCTAGCAGGTCTGAGAGTGCCAGGTTCACCATGAAGACAGCGTTGGGTGATTTGAGGCTGTGGCGGCGAAGAAGAATCCACAGTGAGACTGCATTCAGTGGCAGACCTATCACCATAATGCAGCCAAAGATCCCAGCATAAACCCGGTCATCTTCTGTGGAGCTGTTTGATGTGTTCATGATGAGAAAAGAAATGTCTGAATGTCCTTTTTAAAGAACTGAAGCAGTGTGGCAAAGGTTCCTCTTTGTGTGGTTTTTGTTTGTGAGTGAGGCGTGCCTAGTTTGTGACTGTGACTAGTCACACTACAGGAAACTCAAGCTCATCTCATCTCATCTCATCTCACCTCATAAGCTCTGCCTCTATATTTGTGCTTTGAAGATAGGATCTCTGATTATGATTCCTGTAATACACATTTTTAATACGCTCTGACTGTAATGAGTTTATTTTTAGATTCTTGATTCTTTCCTTTGCAATATGGTTTAGTCTTGAGTTTAGTTCTTTTAATGTCTCTGAGTTTATTTATTTGGGGGATGGTTTTTTTTGTAATATAAACTTTACTTCTATAAAGTATTTTCCCAGGTCAGGTTTGTGTCAGCCAAAATACAAAATAAACGTCTTGTTTTCTTTTACCAATTTCTCCTGTGTGGTCTTCATTCTGGTCCTCGCTGATTGGTCTCACACAATCTGCAGCCTCAGATCATGATGGTTTAGAAATATTGGAAATGACAGTATTATTTTTGAGTCTTTAATCTAGGCTATTGCAACCACTGTGCCTCCACTGCAGGCAGGACCATGATAGAATTCACACATAAACGGCTTCCAAACTGAAGTTCACTAATCTGCAGTCAGCTTGCCTTATTTCCTTCCCTCACTTTTTTTTTTTAACTTTCAAGAACATTGAAAATAAAACAAATAAAAAATAATAGTCAATTAAATTTTTAGAGTTTTGTTATTTTAAGTATTGTGTAATTTAGGGATTTCCCCCATCTTATACTTAAATCAGACATTTTTCGTCAATGTTCAGCTGTACACATACAGGTCCTTCTCAAAAAATCAGCATATTGTGATAAAGTTCATTATTTTCGGTAATGTACTGATAAACATTAGACTTTCATATATTTTAGATTCATTACACACAACTGAAGTAGTTCAAGCCTTTCATTGTTTTAATATTGATGATTTTGGCAAACAGCTCATGAAAACCCAAATTTCCTATCTCAAAAAATTAGCATATCATGAAAAGGTTCTCTAAACGAGCTATTAACCTAATCATCTGAATCAACGAATTAACTCTAAACACCTGCAAAAGATTCCTGAGGCTTTTAAAAACTCCCAGCCTGGTTCATTACTCAAAACCGCAATCATGTGTAAGACTGCCGACCTGACTGCTGTCCAGAAGGCCATCATTGACACCCTCAAGCAAGAGGGTAAGACACAGAAAGAAATTTCTGAACAAATAGGCTGTTCACAGAGTGCTGTATCAAGGCACCTCAGTGGGAAGTCTGTGGGAAGGAAAAAGTGTGGCAGAAAACGCTGCACAATGAGAAGAGGTGACCGGACCCTGAGGAAGATTGTGGAGAAGAACCGATTCCAGATCTTGGGGGACCTATTCATGATTCCATCTGCTGAAAAGCTTTATGGAGATGTAGATTACATTTTTCAGCACGACCTGGCGCCTGCTCACAGTGCCAAAACCACTGGTAAATGGTTTACTGACCATGGTATTACTGTGCTCAATTGGCCTGCCAACTCTCCTGACCTGAACCCCATAGAGAATCTGTGGGATATTGTGAAGAGAAAGTTGAGAGACGCAAGACCCAACACTCTGGATGAGCTTAAGGCCGCTATCGAAGCATCCTGGGCCTCCATAACACCTCAGCAGTGCCACAGGCTGATTGCCTCCATGCCACGCTGCATTGAAGCAGTCATTTCTGAGAAAGGATTCCCGACCAAGTATTGAGTGCATAACTGAACATGATTATTTGAAGGTTGACTTTTTTTGTAGTAAAAACACTTTTCTTTTATTGGTCAGAATTTTTGTGAGATAGGAATTTTGGGTTTTCATGAGCTGTTTGCCAAAATCATCAATATTAAAACAATAAAAGGTTTGAACTACTTCAGTTGTGTGTAATGAATCTAAAATATATGAAAGTCTAATGTTTATCAGTACATTACAGAAAAAAAATGCACTTTATCACAATATGCTGATTTTTTAAGAAGGACCTGTAAAACTGAGATATGATCGGTCTAAAAAAAGAAAAAAAAACAAAGCGTAATTTTACATGAAATAAATAAAAAGTATGAAACATTACAGGGCCTAGGCTTATGTGAATTTACATTGATGGATGCCAGATGGTTTGTTTTCAGTTACCTTTAATACGTTTGTAAGTTTTGAAGAGAGATGATCAGTTTGAATAAACAGGTAAAGACATGTTATTACAGTAGATAACCTGTGCTAAAACTAAACAGAAGAACAGGAAACAATTTCTTAAATGTGGCAGCGTGATGATAAATGATTAGACTGGACACAGTGAATGTTCCTCGTTTGGAGTCTTTTTCTGGAAAACATTTAAATATGTGGCGCTTGTGCGCTATCATCACATATGGTGATGATAAATAAAAGTGGCAACAGGTGCACTGGAGAGCCACAGTATCCACAGACCATTTCTCTACTTTCCCTCCTGACTGATTTTCCTTTTGTTTGGTTTTTAGCTACTGTTCTTGTCACTGCTGGTAGCCCAGATGCTTACAGCCAATTCTGGTTGCACAGGTAGTCCAACTCCTCCAGGATGGCACATCCATGCAAGAAGGTTTGCTGTGTCTCCGAGCTCAGTCTTGAGTATATGGAGGAGATACCAGGAGATGGGAGGTTGCACAAAGAGAGTTGGACAGGGCCATAGAAAGGCCTCACCCTAAAGGGCAAGATCTGTGTCTGCTCATTTCTACTAGGAGGAGCTGCCAGACTCCCACAGAATGACCTCCAGCAGGCTATTCCTGTGCATGTTAGTTATCAAACTGTCAGGAAAAGGCTTTGTGAAGGTGGCACAAGGTTCCAACATCCTTTAGTGGGCCCCGTGCTCACAGTCCAGTACCATGTATCTGCATCTTCACCTGCAGCTATGTCAGCTGAGTTAAACCTTCTTCTACTGACCACTCTGTGCATGGTCACATCACAGAAAAGTGGATAATGCAGAATCTATAGCAAACACCAGTCAAACATTGGTGAACTTTACTGGTATTTCTGGAAGTTTTATGAATCTTCAGCTTTAACTGTAGAAAAAGAATTCTTCATCCTTTTATAATCTTTTCCTCCAGGAAACACCGCATCAGCTACAGGACAGTTAAGTAATGTACATTTTGCTGTTACACAAAAGAAAACAAACAAAACAAAAAAGCATCTGTGTAAACAACAAATATTTGTTTTATTTAAAATCTTTATACTCTTTGACATATATTAGCCCAACATTACTGCGACATACACAAGCTAACATTTGTTTAACAATACCAATAGAAACGTATCTACAGGAGATTTAACCTAACTAAATGAAATCAATTTCACTGCACATGGATGAAACAAATCAAAGCAAAATCAAAGAATCAAAACAAAACAAGCGGGAGAAAAGGCAGCAAGTAAGGGAAATTCATTCTTCACAAATTTCTTTCAAAAGAAAGGCGAGCACAGCATAACTAACATGCTAAGATTGATTTAGCTGTCAGCAGTTGTAACAGGCAGTGGGAGAGTTTTATATGTGACACTATATCTATCACAATTAGACAGCACAAATTACCACAATGAAACACATGGGCTTAATTTTAGAAAGAGCCATACAGAGCAAAGCAGCAGCAGCTCCCTCTCTAAATGATGTGCCATAAGGTGGGCTGATATAGTGGCAACTAAAATCTCCATCCATTCACCTCTATTTATCCAATTCAGGGTTGAAGGGGTGCTGGAGCCTATTCGAGCTACCATAGGGTGACAGGCAGGATATACCTTGGACAGGTCGCTAGTATGTCACAGGGCTGCCACTAAAATTCATTTTGAGCAATCACTTGTATCGACAGAAGTTTCAAATGAAACCTTAGCAACCCTAATATCAAGCAGAATGTAACATTATTGTATATTGGACTAAATCAGCCATAAGGTTAGAGAGGCTTTTTTGTGGAAGCAAGTGTGTTTCAGGCAGATGAAAAACAGCCCCAAATGAAAAGCTCTTGAACTCATAAACAATTCACAAAAAAACATAGAAAACATACCAAGTGTTTAAACTGAGAAAATGTACCTTTTAAAGACAAATATTAGCCCATTTTAAATTTGATGGCAGCAACTGATCTAAAAAAAAGACTCTTCTACTATGAAGCCACACTGCTGTAATAGAGCCAGTATGTTATTTATCAGTCTTATGCAACAAATTCTCTGAAAAAATGTCATCAACATTTAGAGCATTGCTCTAAAATCTGTATATAACTATCAGCATTGATGGTGCCTTTCCAGATGTGCAAGTTGCCAATTTCATGGTCAGTAATGCACACCCATACCATCAGAAGTGTAACCTTTAGAAGGCCCATCTCTTCTTTAGTCCAGAGAATTGATCTGACCATAGAAAAGTTTTTCAATTTGTGCATTTTAAATGCATTTTGCCCAGAGAAGATGGTGGTGTTCCTGGACCATGTTCTTCTTTTTCTTTAACTTGGATTTGTCGTTGGCACAGTAAATTATGATTATGATTCACATACAGCAATTTCTGCAAGTGTTCCCATGCAGTGATTTCCATGACACAGGCATACTTTTTTGTAATGCAGTGCTATATTAAGGCCTGAAAATCACAGGACTGCAATGTTGATTTTGGGCTTTGTCCCTTGCGCACAGAGATTCCTCCACATTCTCATAATGCATTGATGGTGTTATGTATTGTAGATTATGAGATATTCAAGCCTTTACAATTTTACATTGAGGGATGTTATTCTGATTTTTTTTCACAATTTAGAGATGCAGTTTTTATAGGTTGATGAAACTCTTCCTTTCTAAGATGCTCTTTTTATACCACATTACTGACCTGTCTTTCATGCAACTGAAAAATGTACAACAAGGAGACAACTTATCACAAAAACAAAGCAGCTAGTCTGACTAAAAAGACGAAAAAACACGATTTTTCTTCTGTTTTTCTTATCTGTTTGTTAAAAGGTGGTTTGTTTCATGTCCTGACAGTATTTAGTTCAACAAGCGGTGACTTCCAGAAGCTTTTTTTTTTAAAAAGTGTCTAACTGATTTAGACAAGCTGCTTCGTCAGTTGTGAAGTGAACAAATATAAAGTAGATTTAATGAATTATGTGATTTTTTTTCTCTACACTGTTTTTCTCAACTGCATGAGAAATACTTCAGGAGAAGGCTTTAAGAAAAAAACTTCAGTGTGTCTGAATACATCTTCTCATGTCAGATTGTTAATTCTGACAAACTTATTACATGATACTGATTGAGATATTAACTGAACTTGACAAAAATAACATCTTAGTTCCAGTGTTGCAGCTGCCTTTTTTCACAGTTTCTAGTAAAGCAGATGAGCCACCGGTCTTCCTGTGGTTGAGGTTTTCATGTTGCAGTGAAAATAAAACATGAAACCACTAGGCCAAGCCAAGGCTTTTATTCTTTTACTTTCTGGCTTTTACACAAATGTTACTGAAGAAATGAACATTGATGGTTAACTGTAAAATAGTCAGATGTCAGATGTCTATTCATATTAACGTACAGAATTCACCTGCTTGCTGCTACTACTGCACACCCAATGTATATACATATATATATATAATGTTCTTCCTCTACCCCCCCCCCCCCCCCCCCCCCCAATTTTTTTTGCACATGTCGAGGAGCGTGTCAGGCTACATTTCACTGTGTGTTATACTTGTTTAACTATACATGTGACAAATAAAGAACCTTGAACTGCTGAAAACTGTGCATGTGGTTGAACTACTTAAGAATCTTGTGCACAAACGAGCTACTTTGTAAAAGACAAAAACAAAAAAAAAACAACAAACAGGCATGTATCGTGGGACATCTGATAGCAACTCTAGCAGGTCACTAATCTATAGTTCTCTTCCCGTGTCCTCTTTTTTCTTCCAGAAGGAGTCAAAAGAAAAATAATACATCAGTGGATCCAGACAGCAGTTCAAAACAGTCAGACATGCCAGTGGGGTTATACTGGTTTTGCTTTTTGTAACTGCGTGTAGTGGCATGGGCAGAAAACATGTGCAGAATATAAGCAAGTTGATGGCAAAAATCAGCATTACGTTCACCTTGTTTCTGACCTTTGCAGAGTCACTGAGATGTTTGTGTAGAGTCCAAGAAACCATAACGGTGCACACAATGTTGACTGCTAGCATTGTGACCAGTAACACAATCTGAAGGTAAATAATTGCTGATCGTGTTACACTTTTATAATAATGAGATTGAAAACAAATGTGATCTGTGTGGTTCTGTAAGTGTTTAAAAAATCCTATGCCCTCTGGGATATTTACCACCAGGAAAAACCCCCAGACCAGCGCTGCTCCTTTCCAGGCATTGCACGAGGTCCGAAGATGGCGAGACCTCAGAGGATAAACCACAGCCAGCAGTCGGTCCACGCTTATGAAGGTGATGAAGGAGGCGCTGGAGCGGAGGTTTTTGCGAAAGATTATTACGCTGAAGAGGCATGTGATAATTCCCAGCGGAGTGCCTGTTGCATGATGGTAGATCCTCATGGGCAAAGACATGATTGCTAGCAGGTCTGAGAGTGCCAGGTTCACCATGAAGACAGCGTTGGGTGATTTGAGGCTGTGGCGGCGAAGAAGAATCCACAGTGAGACTGCATTCAGTGGCAGACCTATCACCATAATGCAGCCAAAGATCCCAGCATAAACCCGGTCATCTTCTGTGGAGCTGTTTGATGTGTTCATGATGAGAAAAGAAATGTCTGAATGTCCTTTTTAAAGAACTGAAGCCGAGCAGCAAAGGTTCCTCTTTGTGTGGTTTTTGTTTGTGAGTGAGGCCTGACTAGTTTGTCACTGTAGCTAGTCACACTACAGGAAACTCAAGCTCATCTCATAAGCTCTGCCTCTATATTTGTGCATTTTGAGTGTATTTTTATATTCTTGATTCTTTCCTTTGCAGTGGTTTAGTGTAGCACCCTCAAGGATTGACGTACGCACGATGTAGTTATAGAACAGGGGTTATTCTGTTCTTGGCAACCCGTGAGAACTGCTCACGGACAAACAATAAACAAAACATCACATCAAAATGCGCTCTTGTACTTAGTGCCAATCAATCAAAAGTCCTTAATTACAGAAAACAAAACATTTAAAACACACAAACCTCATGTGCTGACATCCAGGAGGTGCTAAATAGTCCTTTATGGCCTTATTGCCTTATCCTCCATCTTCTTTCTCAATTATTTCTACTCTTTGAACGATATTTTCTCCATGTGTGGAGCTAACTGTGAGCTGCAGCATGCAGACACCATGTGCGTTAGCAAAAAAGGAAACTGGGAGGAGATCAAGCTGTACCCTACACAATTCACCACCAGAGGGCGCAAAGAACAAAATCCAGACATACAGCTTAACAAACATCAAATGCAAAAGACCGTTACATTTAGTCTTGAGTTTAGTTCTTTTAATGTCTCTGAGTTTATTTTATGGGGGAGGGGTTTTTTATAATATAAACTTTACTTCTGGGGCGATTCTAGGATCAGAGCTTTGGGGGTGCTGAGCACCCAGAGAGCTGCCCATCCAGGCAAGGTAAACTTTACTCATCACGATGAGACTTCTTCCCTGTCTCTGTTAGTCCCTGCATCCCTAAATGTCTCCAGTTGTCCCAAGTTCCCTCTGACTGTCTCCTTGGTGCATTTAAACCCCTGTTCCTCCCTGTCCTCATTGTCTGTTGTCTTCATCTCCATTATCAGTTATCATAATTTTACCCTCTCTGTGCAAGTCTGCAAATTTCTTTATTAAATCATAAGATTCTTAAATTCATCAAATCTCTCTGTGCCTGGGTCCTCGTCACAAAACATGACATCACTGTTTTGTACATTTTAACACAATTTAATCCCCACAGTTGTGAAAGAAAAGCAAAACACTTTTTTGACAAGTCTGTAACAAAACCATCAAATCTGATAAAGGTTATTTAAATGCTGCTAAAGAAGAATGGATTGGAATAAAAAACAAACAAACAAACTGATGATGAAAATGATGCTCATAGTGAGTAAAAAGTAAACTGAGTGCATTTTTTGGACAGATTCACTTTTAAAGTGTATGTATAATATAATACGGATACGTAAAAAAATACACTCCAAAAATAGAAGAGTCCTTGAAATGTGCAAAATATTATTAAAAAATTAGAAAACTGAGACACCTTGGCCTATGGTACAATGTATATAATGTATGAAAAGATCTTTACTGCAGATGCTACTATGGCTCTGCAGATTTTTTCTTTTCTTTTAACCTATGTCGCCTCACCTTGAGGTTGGCAAATCTGTCTATCACATTTTGGTGGTCAAGTCTCTCAAGCATCTCTTTCTCATCTCTGCTGGAGTCTGCTTTGACCCATGGTCCTTCTCAGCCAGGTATGGAGCTGACTCAAGAAACTAAATGACCTCTCACAGCTACAGCTGCTAACTGGGTTTGTTAGGGCAACCTGAATAACAGTTTTCAGTGTGGGGAAGATCTGATTATCCAGAAGATTGTACAATGTTAACATATCTGGAATGGCACCAGCCTCACTCTTGAGCTTCAAAAAGTCTTTGGTAACCGTGACTTCCTCTGACTGAAGCTCAATATGGTAATGCAGTGCCAGGGCTGACAACCCAGTTTGTTTTGCAGATTCTGTAGAGCAGCTTTAATATAGGGAGAACACAACTTCCAGATTGTATGAGTAAAATTAGTTGTTTTCCCCCCCCCCTTTGCCAGTTTAACAGTTTCTGTTTTGCCTGTTAGTACTCCCTGTCTGTTTTCTTACCTGGTTCTGCCTGACCTTGTACTTTCTCCTCATGTTCCCCTCTTTCCTCTTTGGACTGACATTCATACACAAATAGATTGTATTCAATTAGATTAAAAAAATACTATTAAGATCACTAATAAAAAAAGTCCTCTCTCAGTGTATTTTCAACCAAAAGGCAAATAACCAAACCACATGTACATCTAATAAAGGATACAAATATTGAAACACTGATCCAACATTATCCGTTATTGATGGATCATTTGATCTTACACTTTTACCTGAATGTGTCATGGGGCCGAGTGGCATGTACTGAACAGGACTCAGGTGCAGAAACCCAGAGCAGAGACAGCAGATGATGTAACAATTTATTAGGCTTAAGTGCAAAAAAGAAAAGATAGCAAAGACAAAAAACAAAACAAAACAATAAGACGTGGAGTTTGACGAGGCGTGGCCTGGGGAACGTGGCTAGGGCGAGGGAATGAGGCCTGAGATGCGGAGTGGAGCTGCGCAGGGAACAGTCACACTGAAGAGAGAAGATAGAGTTAGGGAGGTAGTGGAGGCGTGCAGCTCGGATCTCAGCTGACCCTTCTCACCCTGGACACAGTCTGTTTGACCTGCTCCCCTCAGGCAGGAGGCTCCGGTCCATTCGCACCAGAACCTCTCGCCATAAGAACAGTTTCTTCCCCTCTGCTGTTGGACACATGAACAATAACCGTATGACTGTTCCCACCACTAACACATGACCCTACGCTGTGTTCACTGCATCATTCCATGTTTGGCACTGATCACCACCTGCACTCATGTATATATCTACTTAGCACTTTTAATTCTTATTCTCATGTCTATTTAAGCGTAATTTATGACAGTATGTTTGCACTGAAGCACTGCAGCAATTTCCTAATGTTGTAAACCTGCTCAACATTTGGCAATAAAACCCTTTCTGATTCTGATTCTGGAGGCAGCTCTGAAGTGGCCAGTTGTAAGAGTAGCAATTCTTACTTGCAGTAGGGGACATGGAGTGTTGAGAGGGGGGTGATGAGAATCCAGGGGGAGGCTGAGTGGCGTGGAAAGGCTGGCCTGAGATCCGGGGCTTCAGATGGAGTGTGATGGCAGGAGGGCAGGCAGGTGAGGCACAGAGAGATTTTCAAAATGATTGCTTGGTATCCTGAGTCGGGAGGTGGAGCGTGAGCCAAGGTGAATACAGCAACTACAGCAACTACAGCACAAGAGTCTTGTTAACAAGATAGATCACAGCAAGCACTTGAAATATAAGGCCTGTTACCAACATGTGTTGATGACGAACTGGCAGTGAATGAACATCAACGTGTGGTTTAAATCCCTCTGGCTTGATTGCCTGCAATAGGCTCCAGGTGTGCAGGAGCTGGAGTTGGCCCTGCCCAGGGGCGGATCCCAGGTCAGTTCAGGAGCCTTATGGAAATTCCAGCCACCCACCGCAGACCATGACAGAATGTGGCTCCTTCTTTTGAAAAAACTTCCTCATATCCATTATGAGCCTGGCTGTCTCTCTGTGTACACACACACACACACACACACACACACACACACACACACACACACACACACACAACAGGAGCTATAAGGTTAATAGGCATCCAGTCAGTTAGCTAGTTAGTACCTTGGGTTCAATATCGGTACATGCACATATGACAAAATAACCAGTTTCTCTCATTACATTTCAAACAGGACAGTGGTAACAACAGCAGGCTACGGACAATGTTAAGTTTTAGATTTTAAATAGGCTATATACATTTCAATGACATCAACAGGACAGTCAAATAGCGCTGGTTTTACTACAGAGTAGTTGTAGGGTAGCAAACATCGTCGGAAGTTTTCAACACTGCAGGTTACCTGTTATAATGTTTTTCAGCTAAAAAGAAACATGGCCTGACTCCTACCTAACTATATAAAGAGTAACTGAAAGTTAAATGCAGCTAACATGTCCTGTTTCCCAGGTGGTGTTACCCTTTTCCCTGCGGTGGGGAGAGGCAGACCGCCCCGACTCCGCAGCAGCAGGGAGGCCCCACACTCCAGACCGCAGTTGGATGGCCAACTCCTCCTAGCCCCCCCGCTACAGCAGGCCGCAGAGAACGGGGGTGAGAGAAGACCACCACCACCTGGGTCTGGGTGCAGTTCCCCCCTCCAGGGGCAAGGGTACCTAGACCCGGTTCGTAGAGTACGCTTGGGGAGTGTGATTGTGTGTACAGCGTCTCTTTATGTCTGTCTCCACGTTGGTTGAGTGTGGAGTGAGTGCATATGAGAGCATGAGGGTGGGGATGGATGTTTGTGTCTGTGTGTGCCTATATGTCTGTGTCTATATGTCAGGTTGGGTATCAGACGCCACCTCTCTGGGGACATCTCAGGCCCTCCAAGGTTTGGAGGCCTATCTCCACCCACCACTTCCCCTGCCAGTGGCGGACTCCCTCAGGTGTCGGTGCGTTGGTGGTTCTTTGTGTCTGGGGGTGGGCGTCCGGGTACACACCGGCTCACTCCTTGGCGGCCGCTTATCGGGGCCTGGAGCCTGGGGCTCGCTCGGGCCACTTCGGAGGTGGGGTGCCCCCGGCCTCTCGGCCTGGGGCTCGGTCACTCAGGCACAGCTGGGTGCCGGCGGAGCTCACGGGCGCGTCACTGCAACTCCCCCTGGCTTCTGCTCCGCGGCTGCTGAGTGAGCCCTCATCTGGGACTCTCCTCAGCTCTTACTGGGACAGTGGCGCGGCTGCCCCTCTGTTGGTCTTCCTTGGTCTCTTGTGTTCTGGGGGCCTCTGGATGTCTGGAGTTTTGATCTCCTCCATACCTGCTTCATACCCTGGAGGACGGGGCTGTGGCTCCCCACACTCCCTAGCAGATCGTTACATGGAGAAACCTTTGGAATGCAAGCATGCTGATCCACACAGGTATGCACACAGGTGTACACACGGGTATTCACAGACGCGGACTACAGCTTTCTTGGCTGCTGCCTCAAAGCACATTGTACGCTGTCTATCTTGCGTGCTGCACAATATCGTTTATTATTTAGTATCTACTGATATCTACTGCTAGCTAGTTTATT